TTCAAGCCGTGATTTGTCATAATTGTGATGATTATGGCTTACAGCTCATGAAAACCCCAAATCCACACTCTCAGAAAATTAGAATATTGTGAAAAGGTGCAATATTCTAGGCTCAAAGTGCCTAGAATATTGCATACTCTAATCAGCTAATTAAGCCATAACTCCTGCAAAGGGTTCCTGAGCCTTTAAATGGTCTCTCAGTCTGGTTCAATAGGAATCACAATCATGGGAAAGACTGCTGACCTGACAGTTGTGCAGAAAACCATCATTGTTGTTTATTTTTACAAGTACTGTATGCAAAGTTACCAAACATTCATTCTTTCATCTGAAAGAAAATCTATTTTAACCAGAAATTTTACTTTCAGTTATTGGCAGTAAGAACAAACACAAAAAAAAACCTATTTAACCTGGAAACGCGCTAAAAGCCCATTTTAAACTAAAAAAATGTAATTTTTTTTTTTACCAAAAACGGCCTGAAAAGCAGCAAAAACGCGGCACAACTCACTGCACTGCATGTGCAGAAACTCATGCAGATCTGGTCTGCATTTGGTGTGAACAAGCCCAGCTGATTTTTTTTTGTTCTGGTGATTTCTCAGTTCCACGCTTATATCATTTAGGTTTTGTAGTCTACCCTAATGTGTTATACCTCATTATTTTTGGACAGATAGGGCTTTAATTTGGTAGCAAATTTGGATCTGTATATTTTTATTTTCTTGGTAAAATGTTTTTTGTTTTTTTAAATGATTTTTTTCCCCAACACAATGCTTACATAATTTGTCCACCCCCATATATCTATATCCTATCTAGATAGATAGATAGATAGATAGATAGATAGATAGATAGATAGATAGATAGATAGATAGATAGGATATAGATATTTATACACATTTTACATTTTCACATTGATAGCAACACATTTATGTAACATAACAGAATGGGAAAACTCACAGTTAACTAGATTGTTAACTTTAAGATAAGATTAAGGAGAGTTTACAAGGACACAAATTAGCATGCTGTCAACTATTTCACATGCTTGCGGTTGCTAAAAATTTTAATGACATTGTGTTCATTGGCCCTATGATTAAGCGCAAGTATGCGTGAAATACATTAGCGATTTTGTCTGAGACATTTGCTGCATGCCGATTGATGAGTTAAAGATTGCACACTCATCATCAAAGAAAAAGGTGTGTCGCAATTCCTTGCTTTTACAGAGTTTATGTTCACTTTCATGAGCATTTTATGCGTGAACAGTGAATACAAATTTCATCCAGATCATCCAACGTCACTGTTGTGACATGGAGAGTAATCTGGGGTTGCAATCAGCCAGGAATAGATCACTGAAGCAGTGATCTAGTTCTGCAGGGAGACTTTAGACAGAACTTTAGCAGCTTTGTCCCAGCCTCTGTACTCAGAGGAAGTGACGTGATGTCACTCATGACATCATTACACTCGTGGTGTAAATACACATGAGACAATTTCATTATAACTGTGAAAAATTCCAATGCATTATCTGTGAAAATGTTTTGCGGCAATACTGTACATATTAGGGCTTACTCACGCCAGCCTGTGTGCATTATGCTCTGTGTAACACATGTGCACTGGTGTGTATTGTGTAGGGGCTGTTTAATGCGTTGTTACAATGCATCGCACTGGGGGGGGGGTTAACTTTTGAAATAAAAAGCAAAATGACACATGCAGCATTTATACTTAAAGGATAAGTTCACCTTTTGGAAAAAATTAAGAAATGCATAATTAATAATATATAAAAAATATGCATTTCTTTAATATTTGAATTCAAGCCTGGAAAGCATTGCAATCGTGATCGCTCGATCACAGCTGCAAAGCTCAGGCTTCTGCACATTCTCTCACAGGCAGAGCTCGTACGGAGCTTCAGTTAGGAGAGATGGGGGAAGGACGACTGGACTTCAAACTGCATTAAATCATCTCATACAGCACCCCCGTCCTTCCTCTATGTAAGAGCTGCCCATATTCCTGCATCTACCTAGAGCGAGGACAGCTGGATGCTGGATGAAGTGATTTAATGCCGTTTGAATTTATTATTAATTAGGCATTTCTTTAATTTTTGCAAAAGGTGAACTTATCCTTTAACAATCCTTATTGCAGTATTTGGGTGGCAACAGGGCACAGCTGTTTTCTATGTGTCCTTGCGCCCAGCTTGTGTTGATCAACACAGATCAACGCAAGTCAATGGACATGGTGTGAACAAGCCCGTAGTGAAAATGGTCCCACATGTGCTGCTCTCACTTTAAATTAGCAGTTATGAATGTCTGCAAATATATTTTCCAAAAGCAACTACACCAGTCAGATTGTCAAGCTTCTTTTACAGCAAAGAAACAGCATACTGTTTATTTATTTATTACAGGTATTTATATAGTGCCGGCAGTTTAGGCAGAACTTTACTTATATAAGACACTTATCTGTTAATAATGTTTTATGTTCCCTTTTTTTTTGGCAGCTCACTATCTGGATGCTGTAAGAGGTATGTTAAAAATGAAATTCTAGCCTTGCCTTCAGTCTTGCGCAGTTGTACAGGCTCTTCTTCTTTACTGAAATTGCTTACTCGAATTTCACTGCATCTTAGGAGCATCTCACAGTGTGCATTAGAAGCTGCAGCCAGTCGGTTAAAACCCACCTTATTTTCTGGCTGTAGGACATCCAGCATCATCTAGTGCTTTTTTTCCCCAGTCTGGCTGTCCCTGGCCCATCTCTTTCATTTTTTGGATGTCAGTTTTTTTTTTTATCATGGAGGCTCAGCATAAAATATGGGCTTGCAAATGCAGTCTGCCTAGGAACACACACACCTCCAAACTGACACCCACCCATCAAGGCATTTTAATATTTTCATAGCTCCTCCCAAGAGCCATTCCATTGCTTGCACCGGGGCTGAGGGGTCTTGAGAGGACTAGTGAGGGAGGGTGCTGGGATGTTTTCAGGAAACCGTGATCTGCCTGCATTACATAGAGAAGCACAGATTCCAAGTGATGATGTCACTGGGTCTAAAATAAGGTATACCATGAAAACAAAAAGGTTTTATTCAAAAATGGTATTACCATGTTGACGAAGAGCTAAAGGAGTAATCCTGGAAGGCACAAAACTTCAATTTTAATACTCACACACACAAACACACACAAACTCCAAATCAACAACACATACACATGTCACACACACACATATAAATGCTGCAACACCTATACATGCCGTACACAGATACCACAACAAACACCTTATCAATTTTAACGGGTGAAACAAGACCCATCAAGAATGCTAGCCTCATTCCAACGTGCTTTTTAGCTATTACTATGCCAATAAAATATAAGATCTATATAATTATATACGATCATGCTGACCAATGGATGGGAAAAGGTTGCACACGTTTACTTG